AGATATGTCGACAGCTGGTCGGCATGGCTTCACATTGAGGAGTCATGAGACAGCCTCCCTTATGGGCTGAAGGGGGAGGTTGTTGGGCTGGCAGCCCAAAGTGGGTTCAGCCCATGGTGGGCTTTATCAACCCACAATCCACACCCCTTTGACCTAAGCCTAGATCAATATAAGGGGGGTGTGGGGGCTGCGTTTTAGATGCAGAAAAGAGGCAGTAAAAGGCAGATCTTGATAGCCACGGGATTCCAAAGAGAAGAAGGAGAACAAGGCAGAAAAACAAGAGAAAGAAAGGGAAGAAGATAAGGACAACGCAGAGAGACTGTTCTCAATCATCTAGTAGTGTTCTCATCTCAGGTTAGATCAAATCTACAGTAGACTCTTGCTGTGATTACTTGGGAAGGTTTTAGATATTGTGGGCAGTGACGTGATCCTTGTATCCCAGCTATTCTCTTGTGGTTATTGCTAGGGTTTAGGGCAAGAGATTGAGATTTGTATATTCATTATTCTCATAGTGGATTATCTCTAGTTTGCCCCGTGGTTTTTACCCTTCACATTGAAGGGGTTTTCCACGTATATCTTGGTGTTCTGTTTGATTGTGTTTCCATTTTATTCCGCTGCGTATTATGGTCTTCTAGTATTTGTTCATATACAAATATTATTCCTCTTTATATCCCCATCAGTTGGCTTCCTATTTGAGCAACAGTTAAAAGCATGCATTCATGGAAACCAACCCATTTATGGTCAATGATTAGCTTGGGGGATGATATTTCATCTGGCCACCACACGACAAAAGTTTCTGAGTGTTTTTGGTGTTTCGTTGTTGATGGTTTCCACCAAATGAAACCACAACTTTGTGCTCATAACAATGTTTTAGGGTAGACACATGGCTTATCTTAGCTAATTACTTACGGCTTTTGTTATGTCACGGACAAGATTCTGCAATAACAATAGTTATGGATAACCATAAGCTAACATCACGAAATGAATACAACCTTCTTGAAGTACTTGTGATGCTATAATACTTTTTGTGCCGATGATTGATCCACATTTTTGTTTTCCTTTATTTTGTGATAGGAACTTGGTTGAATCTTTAGAAGTGAATACCATGTCATGCCTGCATATATTTGGCTTGCTATGTGCATTCACGAGTATAGACATAGCATCGTAGTGTTTCTAAAGTTATGGTTCATGACAGGTAGGAGAAAGTGGGGTTCAGATGTCAGGAGGTCAGAAGCAGCGGATAGCGATCGCAAGGGCTGTGCTGAAGTCGCCCAGGATTCTTCTGCTTGATGAAGCCACAAGCGCGTTGGACTCGGAGTCGGAGCGAGTCGTCCAAGAAGCACTCGACCTGGCGTCCCTCGGTCGGACCACCATCGTCGTCGCGCACCGCCTGTCCACTATCAGGAACGCCGACGTAATCGCCGTCGTGCAAGCCGGCCGAGTCGCGGAGCTTGGCTCCCACGACGACCTCATCCGTGATGAAGATGGACTCTACTCATCCCTCGTTCGCTTCCAACAGACGGCGGGAGCAGCGGGAAGCGATGCGCCTAGCTTATCACCGGCAGCGTTGGTGGCCTTCCCTCGACCCGGTGGCAGCGAGAGCCGCAGGTTATCGTTGTGCAGCAGATCAAGCTCCACTAGTTCTTCGCGCCACCAGGAGTCGCAAGAGGAGTCCGAGGCGGATGCTCCTCCCCCGGTTCCATCTCTGCGGAGGCTTTTGCTGTTGAACTTACAGGAATGGCGGCAGGCGGTGCTGGGAAGCTTGGGCGCGATGGCTTTCGGGGCGGTGCAGCCACTGTACGCCTTCTCGATGGGAAGCATGCTGTCGGTGTACTTTATGAATGATCACAAAGAGATCAGGTCAAACACGAGGAAATACAGCATCGTTTTCCTCGCCATGTCGATCTTTTCGTTCTTGGTCAACATTCTACAGCACTACAACTTCGGGGCCATGGGGGAGCACCTGACAAGGCGGGTGAGGCAGAGGATGCTCACCCAGATTCTTACATTTGAAGTTGGGTGGTTCGATCGAGACGAGAACTCTACTGGCGCCATCTGCTCTCGACTGGCAAATGATGCCAATGTGGTCAGTAGCAATCTCCGTTAGCAGCTAGGCATCCATAAGTACTTCGTTCTCTAATCTGCATCGCTCTCCTGCTGCAGGTTCGAATGCTGGTGGGTGATCGGATGTCTTTGATCATTCAGGCAGTCTCTGCAGCGACCATAGCATGCACGTTGGGTCTGGCCATTGCATGGAAGCTGGCCCTCATCTTGATCGCCATCCAACCCCTGATGATAGCAAGCTTCTACTACCGTATGGTTATTATTAGGAGCATGTCCAAGAAGGCTATCGAGTCGCAGTCGGAGAGCAGCAAGGTGGCTGCCGAAGCT